AATAACTTTTAATGCAAACTTGCTTAAATTTTTCAACCACGCATGCCGGTGGCTTAGTAATAAGATCAATATCAAATTGCTATATTTTTAGTTTTATTAAGGTGTATTTTCTGAAAATATACTGAACATTGTGAAACTTGAGACTATTTTTTATTTTTTTATAAATTTTATGCATTTGAATATACTCATCAATCCATAACCTTTTTCCAACTTCCATGTCCTCGTCAATCACACCTGATTAAAATAATAATTTTTATTAAAATTCATTTATGGCTCAGTATGAATATATTATGTATTTGTCCTTTATATATTAGTTATTAATTTAATTGTTATTACATCCCCGATAATTTTTATTGTAGACAATAGATCATCATGAAAAATCGCTCGAACTTCTATCAAGATTGTCTTATTCTTGTATATCAAGTCTTCGTGCATATTTATAAATGCAAATTGATAGATGATATTAATTTATTATACAACTTGAATATCTTAGTAGTTAAAAAAAATCGCATAATTTCGAGTATAAAAGAAATGTAATCTAGAGTATTAAAAATAGTTCAATCGTTCAGGTTTAATTTCAATTAGTCTACATTCTAAGCCATATCTTAGCATGTGGTTGATAATTTTATAACTAGTAATTAGAATTACATTAGTGTACATTACTTTGAACGAGATCAAGAATTTTGATTAAGATTCATTATATGCGTGTCAAGCGATATTTATGGAAAGTATTTGTTGATTATATTCAATTAGACGTTGATTAATTGGCTTTCTGAAAATGTTTCTTGAAAATGTATTTATGTAAGTGATTAATTGTTTTCACAAATTAAGTAATTCAGAGTTATTTATGAAAAAATATAAGTTTGGGTATAATAGAAAGTTGAAGAGCTTTTATGGCCTTTTCAACCACAATAAATATACGAGGTCTGTTCAAAAAGTACCGGGAATTTTCGTTTTTTCAAAAAAATATTTATTTATTCGTCTACATTAATGTGGTCCCCTTCAAAGTAGTCCCCCCCAGATATAATACACTTATGCCAGCGTTTTTTCCAATTTTCGAAGCACCCTTGATATTCACTTTTTGATATGTCCTTGAGCACTCTCAGCGATTTTCTTCAATCGAGGAAAACCGCCGTCCTTTCATGGGTCTCTTCAACTTTGGGAATAGGAAAAAGTCACACGGAGCCATATCTGGTGAATTTTTGCACTTTGCAACACTTTATTTCATTTTTTACGCAAAATTTAATACAAATTCTTTGACTTTTCAATTCTTCCATTGTAAAAATCGCCGAGCTCAGAAAAACACGTCGAACCTTAGCGACTACCACAGACAAAATAAACAGTGAATATAGCTGAAAATTTCATCATACTTTAGGGGCATGTATACCAACACAATAAAAAAAAATTTGACAATCAGACACTCCAGACCCGCGAAATTTAATTATTAGTAATTCCGGGTACTTTTTGAACACACCTCGTATACTTGTAATAGATTGCAGTTTAAGGAGAATTTGATTTGAAGTGGGTAAAGTGATATTGATAGTAACTACTTTTTTTGAGAAAAGTAGTACTTAATTTAAGTGAAGAGAATCAAGAATTTGTTACTGGCTAGATTTTCCATAATGCTGCTTTATTCGATTTCAGTATGAAATTTTCAGTGCTATCATAAAATCATTACAAAATTATTCTGTGCATACTACTGTTCATGTGAAGAATTTAAATATAGAAAGCAATGCAGTATGTACTAGATGATTACTTCCTGCTTTCCAGAAATCTTTGAATAATTTCATTACAAGCTACTTCAATATTATTAATGCGCTGCAATGTAATTTGAATAATTTCATTATAAACTTCTTTTATGACTAAGGCGGATTGCATAATATACTCGTGAAAGTGAAATGGTATTTCCACAATTAATTTAGTTATTTAATTTAAGACTGCGTAATAACATACTTTGACTAAAAATTCATTTAAAATAATAGAAAAACACAGAAAATTTAAAACTTGAATGATTGAAGTAACAATGGCATTTCAGGTGCATTTTGGTTCCTATAATAAGTTAGGGACAAACATATTTTTACAACGCACAAGATTAGACAACTCATTTTTTTGTCTAATCATGTTTACTTTGATGAAAGCATCAATTACTCTGAAACTGCTAGACCTGCCTTTCCAAAAATTTCGTCAGTTCTTCATTTCGTCAATACAAATAAAATTCCATGAATCATTCAAATCGGTCGCTAGGTTCTCCAAAAAATTGAATTACCATTTTTGAAACTTTTGCCCCGTATCTTTCAAACGGCTGAATCTGCCTTTGCCAAAAACTAATCACCACGCCTCCTAGTCAATAGGAATTGAATGTTTGTTGAATAATTCAAATTGGTTCATTCGTGTTCTAGAAATCGTCGATGAGAAATTGTATCCACACATACATACACACACGCACACGCGCACACACACACTACATCCATTTTTTCCAAGGTATGCCAAAAACGTTCAAAAACCTTTGAAACGCATAGATATGCAAATTTCATTTCCGATTTTTTTGCAATTACTATAACTTACCCTACGGGAAGTTAAAAATTAGAAATACATATAGGTAGTATCTACGTTAGATAGTATAGTATTAGAAGTATAGTTCTTAACGTTTGGCATCTATTTCAGTAAGAACTGGTAATTTTTCTTACACTTTAATCAGATAATCAGTCGCTGTATACATGGATGCTTCAAACAAATTCTTTCGCTATTTTGATATCATTAATATTATGAGGAAATTGATATTATACTGAACGCCAAAGCTCCTCCTTCAATTAGTGATTAAAGCTATGGGATTTGAACCAGAATATCCAGGTTTGATGCCCAGCTCGGAGAGCCTGATGTCTTGCACTAATAAAATTTCACTTCACTAATAAAAAAATTAGTATTACAGAAATTGTACTAATAAATTTATCACATATAGGTAGGGCAGCCGTTTGGGTTGCTACCTGTAATAAGATCCGTTTAATCCGATTTATTTATAATATGTTCAAATATGTATTATATATGAACTAGCAGTCTAGCACCATATGGGAATAAGCACCTCATATTCAAAATACCCGATAGTTTTTATTGAAATTACCCAAAAGCTATTAAAGAATATGTTTCTGCACCGTATTACACTTATTTATTCCGCCTTCATAATTTTATATGAATAATTTGTAGGTATTAATTCGAGAAAATACATATCGCCGTCACCTGCGTCGTTCTTTAATTTATCATTCGACAGTGAAGCAACAGTAAAGATATGATAAAACTTGTTTTTAGTCGCCGGACAAACAAATTTCGACAGTTTGGTTCGTTAAGGTCATTTTAATATCACGTTTTCTGCTGCTAATGGACAATAACATGCACTACAATAATAAAATCAAAACACAGAACAAGATTTATAGAGTACAAAAAAGCGACAATGGGTTTGTAATGTGTCTAGTATACATATCCAAAATAGGTAAAAAGACAATGGCTTGACTTTCAAGGTCGTCTGACAGTCAACTTAAATAAAAATAGTTTTAACATAGTGTAATAGAGTGATTTTAGAAATGATACTGGTTTTAATCGTATAATTTGATAAAATTCATGACTGAACATATACGTAACGAACACCACTTTTTATTTACACTGATATTTATATCCAGAAATATTTTATTTATAAAGTTAAATTGAAATGGTATGCTCAGAAATGCAGAGTATAACAGTTGCATATCATTTAATTATCAATTGCATTATTGCCTAATCGTTAGCAATTCAGATCCAACTTAATAAAATCATATCATGAAGGTTTTAACTAGATTTTAGTAACGTTAATTTTTTTGAAAAAATCTCAAAATTCTAAATGTTCTAGGGCCTAATCTGTATTTTGAATATTAAACATCTAACTCTGGATATGCATAGGATAAACAAATATTTAAATTGTCTTAAAAAAAATTACATATCATTATTTCTAAACTTTCCTGTATGTACTATTTACGGATAACTTATTAAATTTGTTTACTTATTTTTAAAATTTGTTTTTCTTTCAATATTGAAAATATGAAAAATTAGGGGTCCATGGCAACTTTCATGGGGTCCACGGTAGGGAAAACAAAATTTGGGGGTCCACTAAATAAAAATGGAGGTCCCCAGTATATTTAGAAATGATTTAAACTTTAAATGTTTGTATTGAGCGCGAAGCCAGCCACCCATCAACCTCGCATATCTCAGAAACTATTGAATGCTTCAACTCAAAATTTTTGTCAAATTTTTAGTAAAATGCAGTAACAATGTGGTATTTCAAGTTTCATCAAAATCGAATTATGCATTTTTGAAAACATACAATCTGTTTCAATACCAGTATTGAGAGCGGAGCCAGCCACCCAACAACCTCGCATATCTGAAAAACTAAATGGCCAACTTCAAATTTTGGTCACAAATAATAAAAATAAAAAAATATGAATTGGGCTCCGAATTGAACGCGGCATAATCCGGGCCAAAAATTGATTTTATAAAAACCCGGATCACTTGATGGAAATCCGCGACTGTTCTGGCGAAACTGGTACGTGTGGTCACTTTAATATAGGGGGTCCATAACAAAACAAAAAAAACATTGCAAGGGGCCCATGGCACGAACAAGTTTGGGAACCTATGATCTAAACCCACATTTAAATTAAAAATTAAATTTAGTTAATAATTGAAGTGGCCTATTATTGTATTAGAAATATGCGCATCCGTGGTACTTCTTATGCACTTTCGTATCAATAATATTTGAGATTCAAATTTTTGTTTATGGAATTTTGAATTGCATACTTACTAATCTTGTATCTATTTTATTGATATGATGGATATTTTATAAATATTGGTACACTTCACGAAACCAAAGAGACCAAACAATATGTATGTCTTACAATTAGAAAATTTATGCAAATACCGAGGTGATTCGTTTAAACCAGAAAAATTATTTTAGAACAAATTTGGTGTGTTTCACTTACCAGTCATCGTAACGTTGACGTATCCTAGACCTACGTGGGCTCCAATTCTTGCGGAAATTTTCTCATTGGAAAATGCCCGATATGAAGCAGTTACCTCCGTACACGCCACGTGCCAACCGGCGCCCAACATAGCCACTGAAAAGACATTATTATTAATAAAATTAAAATAATCATAAATTATAAAAATACATCTAATTTTATTTATATAAAATTAAATATATATATAATATTTATATTATATATAATTTTATTTGGCAGAACTGGTAATACCGGGATGGAGGAAATCGATGTGTCATTAGACGAGTTCTTCACTATTGCATTATAACCTTGTAATTTGAATGTTTCTCTTATTACAGTTTACGACTAATTTAATGACAAAAAGTATGATAGATTACTTTTTTGAATAATTATTGAGATATTAATAAATGTCTGTAAAGTCCCATAAATCGTGACGCTAATTATACAACCTGTGATATGTATGTTTTTCAGTATTTTAATGAACTTATTATAGCATTGGAATTAGTGACGCAAATTAAAAATTGTGATTTGATAGACATTGAAATTTATAGGACGAAATTACAAAAATTAAGCATTATCTACTGAGCTATCATATATATCCATATGGATTTCAGTTTACCGAGCATTGATTCCAGTGTAAATTTTTCTTAAAATAATAGTATCTATCAATAAGCTTTCAACATGTTTAAACCAGGCGCAGTTTTTGATAATGTATATATATATATATATATATATATATATATATATATATATATATATTAAAACAACAAGTATAACAACTCTGTGCTCAACTTAATAATTAAGTAAAATTTCTTCCAATCAGTGATGTCCAACTATCAAGTTCAAACTGGCACTAGACAGAAGTAAGTATACAGACAGAAGAAATACTAAATCAAATTGTATAATTGAATAACAATATAAAGCTATTTATTATATTTAAACAATTGATAAAGCTCGTCTTAATCATTCATGAATCCGTAAGTATTTATTTCCTAAGAATTTTGTTTGGTATCTTTTCTGTTAAAGTTCTTCGTGTATCTAATATTCATTGAATTTTTGAGCAAAAAAAATAATTCGGAATGTGTTGTAAAATTTATTAATATGCCTTCGATACCTTATTTACCAATTATTTGGGAGATAATTTTCCAGAAACATCTTCCTTATTTTAATTATGGAAGGGTTAGGCATATTGCTAGAAAGAGAATTTGTTAGGTGGTATTTTACCCGAAGGCTACTTGCTTGAACTTTCCGATGTGTAAATCATCGATTTAATCAAAAAGTATTTGATTTGTATATGAACTACCTGTCTAACACTCTACTTTTTTACCTGTCTAAGTGACAGGAAGGTGTTTGTAACTGCCTACCTGTTAACACGTTTACCTGTCTAATTGTCTACTTGCCTGCCAATCGATTTGCTTACCATTCGACTTGGCTACTCTACACTTTTCTACCTTTCTACCAGTTTACGTGTCCACCTTTTACTTGTCCATCTTCTTTACTCTTCAATCTCTCTATCTCTCTCTATCTTCCTATCTCTCTATCTTCCTATCTCTCTATCTTCCTATCTCTCTATCTTCCTATCTCTCTATCTTCCTATCTCTCTATCTCTCTATCTTCCTATCTCTCTATCTTCCTATCTCTCTATCTTCCTATCTCTCTATCTTCCTATCTTCGTATCTTCGTATCTATCCCTCTACCTCTATCTTCGTATCTATCCCTTTATCTCTATCTTCGTATCTATCCCTTTATCTCTATCTTCGTATCTATCCCTCTATCTTTATCTGCGTATCTATCTCTCTCTATCTGCGTATCTATTTCTCTATCTTCGTATCTATCTCTCTATCTTCGTATCTATCTCTATCTTCCTATCTTTCTATCTGTCTACCTTAAACCATAAACCTAGTAACGAGAACATGCCGCAAATGCTTAAATACTTTCAGTTTCCAAGAAATTTGACTTCCGCCTATTACAAATATTACCTTCTATTGCTTTTAATAAATTCTCTCAATGTTTGCACTACTATTACTTGTGTAGGTACTATTAATCCATTCAATTTAATAGCAATATCTTGTTTCGTTTGAGGTCTAGAACTAAAACTACTATTGAAACTTTTTTTTAGAAATCTTTATGATCACATTGCAAAACTGGCAATAAACAGTTCAATCAAGATCTTGGTATTCTAAAGTAATTCTGGTACGTCTTTATATTGAAGATAAGTCGTTAATGAACGCTCATCAGCATTTTATTGGCGGCAATTTCTTGTACAAAGTGATGTAATTACTGAAACCATACGTTGGCCGTTATCGTATAGAAAAGCGTGTGCTTGTTACTTGACATTAGAATCGCAACCTGGTTACTCGCTAGAACGTGATAGAATATATTAAAATGAGCCGAACGTTGCGCAATTGCGCAAAATACTATTAGGCAACTTATACACTAAATGGACGTTATATTTACGAGCATTATAACTACTTACATGCCCATGCAATGCATTCTTTATTATAATAGATGCAGATAACTGGCGAGATGTCGGCCAGCAGCACAAAATGAATTGAATTGTTTTCTTATGAGCATTTCATTAGTCACAATCGTACCATAAATAATACCTACTATAATGCAATGTTCCAAATGCATGCAAATTGTAATGCTCAATGTTTTGGAATGTGCAAGTATCGACATGAAATACTGTCGGATGAAAATTTAAATTATCAGCCGAACGATATTTATTGATTTGAAATTGGAATTATTTAAATCTTCCAGCACGTCGTATTTGCAGATAATGTGCATTGAATTTGAAAGTAATAATATATAAGAACTTGCAGCAAACACACAGATGCTGCTATTGATATTCGTACATATTATTAGTTGATACTAAAAATAATTTAGCACGTCAATCCACATACATATATGTCTGATATATGCGATTTGATAAAGAGCTACGTTTTACATAAAAAAAAGTTTTAGTGTAGAGACGTCAGTCATATATGTGTGAAGTGTGACATAAAAAATAGTGTTTATGAAGAAATTTTGGCAAAAAGTTTTTTACTTAGATACATTAGGTTTCCTTGATACATTTCTAACTAAATATTCCATTAAAAACAAAATACTAATTTACAAAATTATTATCAAACCAATTTAGACTTACGGCTTACAACTCTGGAGTGCGGCCAGTAAGTCAAATATTACAATTTTTCAGAGATCCCAGAATAAAATTTAAAAACAGATTGCAAACGTCCCAAATTATGTGCGAATAACAACCATCGAAGAAGAGATTAAGCAGTATTGCACCAAATACAAGAACCGACTAACTCACCAATTGCCGAATGATCTGCTCAGGCCACTACCACCTAAGCAACTCAAAAAACAAACTCTTGCAATAAAATACTATAGAAAATTAATTGAATGTATGTATTAAATGAATATTGATTAACGCCAATTTATAAGAAAAATTACAGGTATCGCAAAAAATCAAAAAGATTTTATATTATCTTACATTTCAGGACATTCTAATATACTTGGAAATATTTTATTCTAACAAACGTAATTATTTTTGAAGTCTGTTGAAAACTTTCAAATCATCCAGCTCAAATGTTTCGACTTGTAATACTTTGGTATATAATGGGCTTATATTTAAATACTATTTTTCTGCCATATTTCCAAGAAAACGAATAAACTGATCTGAAAACAAAAATTATGTCTAGAACCCACTTAATTTTAGGCAAAATAGTGATTCGATACATACATATTCAAAATATTCGAATCTGTTATTAATCTGAAAAATGTGTTATTTTTGGTAGGATGTTTTCACCAAATGTTTGTTACTACATTTTGCGGTTTACTACCATTATTTAAAAATTTAGTAGAAGTAGAAAGAAGAAAATACTCTAGATAGAAAAGTAGAATCAGAAGCTAAAATTATGTACTAATTAAAATGTAATTAAAAATTCCTTAAAAATTGGCTTCGCTCTTTGGAAATTGTTCAAATCATCATTTCCACAAAGATTGAATAGGTAGGGTATACTATATGAAAATTATTTCAAAAAACACCGTTCCTATAAATTAGTGTATAATTAAATAATATTCAAATAAATATATATATATTTAATATACCTATATAAAAGATAAATCACCAATACTTATCAATATTCATAAATAAGCGCATATCTCTATAGATATAGATAAACAAGTATGAGACGTATCAAAATATATTATTCTGATATGCCATTTTGAATATATTTATTTTTTATTTATTTTCAGGTGGCAAAGTAATGCAATATTATTGAATGATTGAACCGTATGCGTTTAAAATAATTAACGTGTACGCGAGATGTAAACGCGGAATTATGTTCAATGTCATGACATCCATTAAAGCAATTTCAAATTATTCCGCTCAATGTTTGCACTGAATAACCCGAGGTGTTCTTTGAAAAATCCAGCATAGGTCGAAGACCGTCCTTGTTTGAAGCATCGCCGAATATAGTCAGACAGACATTGAATACGAACATGGAACATGGAACATGTCTGAGTACTCGAAATTGTTGAATTCTTAAAAGTGACGCGTTATTATGAATTCGTGATACCAGAGTATTACGAAGACATTTTATTAAATTTTCAGTAAACCTTGTCCATGGCATTCTTCTGGAGATCGACAGCCGTCACAGCGATCAGTCACGATCGTCTTAAAACATTGGGAATTGGGAATTATGGAGAAAACGGATGTATATTGCATTTTACAATTTGAAACTTTGTATGTTGGATAGAAGGTGAAGATTATTTCAATTTGCACCATCATGAACTAAGTTTATGGACTTCATTGTGTTCCGGCTATACTAGATATCAATAATCTACTTGTTTGTCAAGGCAAATTGCAGAAAGTTCAAATTTTTACAAATTTGAAAAAAAAATAAGATTTACAACTATAGATTTAACTGGCTGACCCAGCAAACATTATTTTACCATGAAAATTATTTGTAAATAATTTCTAGAGAATCCAAAAACTGTTGTTTTAAACATTTCAAAAAAGTTAATATTTTGAGTTTCTTGTATTCTTTTTGCATATAATTAAAATTACTTACTATAATAAATAATATTTATCTAAAACATCCTAATAAATTTAATCGAACATTATCTATCAAAATCATTTAACGTAGGAGCGACATGCAAAAGTTTCATATTAAATTACGTTTTTACAAAAAAATCAAGTTTTTAAGTGGTTTTGAAATAATATCTCACCTTTCCCACAATCTCTGGATTAGCATGAATTTTTCAAGACTAAGACTGGCCAAATCGGTTCAGCCGTTTTTGAGTTTCAGCATACCTAACATTTTGTCGAGCTCTATTTTTATATATAAGATAAGTGATACTTAAAAATTATTCTATATTATTGTCTTGAGTATCAAGTCCGACATACCCAGACAAAAGACCTAGTCTCGGATGCCTAAACGCATTTCCTTCGCTGTACAAAAAAACATACAAACTTGATGCGTCGAGATATCGAAAATTTATTCTAATATTTTGATTTACAAGCATGTATATTAACGAAAAGCAATTTTCACATCATGGAAACTGATCATAAAATTTTCTTTCATGAAAACTGATCTCTGAAAAAATCCGCCCTCAGAATGTTCTGCTTATGTTTCATATTCGAAGTAGTGAATTGGTTCATTTTACATTGTTTGAAGATTTAGTTCATGCAATTTTTTAAATTATATTTTTCTAAGTAAATCTGTAACAATGCCAATGTAACGGACTAAAAGAAATTAAATTTGATTACGTACAATTGCACGCTCTTGATTACATATTAATTACTGTGGGATCAAGAACTTTTCAATGAACCTGAATAAATTCATATATATATATATATATATATATATATATATATATATATATATATCGTAAAAAGCGAGTCGCCAGTAAATAATAAAATATTGCTAACTGCAAAAAAAAAATTACTTTGCCAAAATGACCTCACAGCATTCATATAGATTTATAGCTTACGATAGCAATAATCTCATACAATTTCAATTTAATTGCTAAGAAATACTATTTTATTTTAGAATTTCTTGTTATGCTTATAAAAATATTCAACTTCTTTCATTTCAGAACCTCTGAAGCGTTTAAATAACGATAACATTATGGAAAACAAACGATCATATAATTTAATATTTGTAATTTCCGTAGAAGTTGGTAATAATATTTAAATCGTATTCAGTCAACCAGTGTGAAAACACATTTCGATACGCATTCAGCTTCTTTATATTTCAAATAAATTAATAATTTAATAAAGTGTTTATTAATTTTACATAATTATAATGCCATATAATTCACCAAAACCATAAAAAATTGCCTAAGTTGACGACATGTTTTGTAAATTGCTAATTGGTTAAAAATTTAGCTAAAATTTAAACATTATTTTACTGTACAAAAACAATATATCATATAAAGGAAAATGAATACCAAGTCCAAGTAGAATGAAAGGTAATATTGAGAAAGATTTGCTAACATTATGAACATACATTAATAAATCTACGACAATAAAATAGACAACCATGGGGGTACCCTTGAATAAAAATAATTAAATAGGTAAGTCAATCATTGATTTACTCTATAAAAATATCTAGCAGAAAGTGATTGTTGCTCAGAATACAAACGAAATGTACAGCAAACCAATTTTATTTGAACCAACTAATCACCAACTAATTTCATTTAAACTTTTGAGCGACTAATTCATTTTAGTTTGTGATAGTAGTTTAGATATGATTTTGAATTAATTAATTCAAAATAAATGTTAATATAGTGATTACTTACCTAAAATAACGCAGCCAACAAATAAACTTAAGGTGACGGTAACAAACGTGGTGAATCTCTGAAACAAAATTAGTCATCGATAAATGCGTTACTCATTTATATTATAATTTATGTGAAATATGATGTCAACATCTATTGTTAATGCTCCACTGATTAATAAGTTCAAAGCAATAAATTAAATATTATATAGTATCGAGAATTATTATACAGCTTTTCAATTAATTTAAATTATCATATCAAAATGGAAACACTTCATTACATCGATTTTTGATCATTTTACTTGAATATTTGAATCCAATGTCATTCTTCTGCCTAATTTAAAAGAGATAGCAAATTATAAAAATCACTCGAATCATACCATACTTTTAATTACATTTCAATTAGTATTTAATAATAATTTGAAAATGAGCATCTATGCATATAACAAATGTCTCTAATAAGTCAGTGTGGAACTTCAATGAGCAACGAATTGGAGTAAATATAAGCAGGAAAAAATGACAAAATATGCACAAATTTTGTTGGTTAAATAAAAAATATTACTAATTGTGAAAAATGGAAAATATATACTAATATTTTTGAATAAAAGATAATATCTAAGAAAACGGATAATGATGAATAAAATACATGTGGGAGAAGTACGGACAAAATGACATGGTTTTTTATTTTTTTAATGACATTTAATTGATAATTATCTTCTTTTTATTGTTCATGGCTTGTTTCAACAGTCAGAATCCATTTTAATCTATAATCTATAAGTCGAAAGTAGATCATTTAATTTTATTAATATTGTATTTATTTAATGATAACATAACCAGTGTCAATCGTTTTTGCTCATCTTAGGTTTATTGATTACCAGAAACACTAACAGACTGTTAAATAAGTAGGAACCATAATAACATTTATTCAGAAAAAATGCAAGCAATTACAAAAATTGATATAGCCTATATTGTATGAACAAAATGACAAACTAATACGCAGTTCACAAACAAACCATTTGGTAAATTTTTGGGACATCAGGACATGAAACATGAGCCGAAAGAAAACAAGTCATACATCATAAATAGCCTCATAACGGGGTCGGGCTCATAACGGGGCAAAAAGTCTTTCCAACAAATTAGAAACCCTTCTTTTTATAGATGGATTCCTTGATTTGGTTTTAGAAGTAGTAATAGTAAAAGTTGAAAGCTAATCATCTATTACAAGTTTCAATTTTGGGTTTCCGTGGCTTCGAATGACTACTGTAGCATTTGCAAAATAATGGCATTTTGTTCATAACATGTCATTTTGCAAAAAAAAAAAAATAAAAAATAGAAAATAAAAATCTCATCAAGCACCTGGTAATAGTAATAAAATTAATCAAAATCTCTAGTACTGGCATAAGTTCAATAATTTTAGTAGTAATAATTATAAATAACAATGAATAAGTCCCCAAAAAATATGAGAAAACTAAAACTTTTGAAGGCACTTTTGAACTGATTTTCGACAAGACTGTGACAATAAAGCTCAACATCTGACATGATTATTATTATAGCTCTTCGTGGTATGCAAGTCGCGAAAACGTTATTAAAACTAGCCATATTCTAAAAAGGACCATTGTGTCATTTTGTCCATATATACCATTTTTCAGTACTTCCTTTACTTCAAGCCATAAATCGTAATTTTTTATTTGAGATGATGAATCGCACATAAGTCATTTAATAAAATAGATTAAAAAATTTAAATAAAACACGTTCATGGAAAATGCAATGCTTGAACATTGCAAGAAGAAAGCGTGTACCAACGATTTTTTTTTTATATTATTTTCATTGGCCTCGCTTACTCGAGCATTTAGCCACCTACAACATATTTTAATTTCATTACAATATTTCAATTTCAATACAATCTTCATGTTCATACTATTTTTCTTATATAAATCCTATTCTTCTTCCTATTTTATATATTCTATCCTATTCTATGTACTCTTCAACGTAATTTCATTCTTCTTATTCCTTCTTTTATATCTTCTATCTTCTTACGTCTTCATTACTTCCATTACTTCCATTACTTCTTTCATTACTTCTATTCAATTTAATTTTTATTCTCAAACCTTTTTATATACGATTAAACTATTTTTAACATTATTTCAAACTATTTTTAACTTTATTTCAAACTATTTTGTTCAATGCAGCCTTTGTTGGCAAACACTGATCTACAATTGTATTGCAATATTTTCAATTCCTGTGTCATTCCTGTCATTTCGGATTAGTTAGGTTTATCTGATCTCTTTCCATCCGATTAATTATGGCCATTAGCACTGTACCAACGATTAATATTACGAGTTACACCACTCTTCAGAACAATGGTACAAGGCTCGGCGCGCAATAAATATGAACCTTGACCACTAAAAATATCAAAGAAATATGCTTATATATGTATATAAATTAACTATTATTACTGACCTGTTTTCGTACGCCAGGGAAGACGAGCAAGAAAGCGAGGTAGAGCGTGCCGAACAAAACGCACGCGGCCACCGTGTGGACATCTCCCGTGACCGGGGTGCGGTTGTTGAAGCCATACAGCGTGGGACCGCCGTCGCTGCGGAATGCGTCGAACCAGCCCCTCATGTCAGGGGCCGCTGGCTGAAACAATCATAAGAAACAATTTAGTTTCTATCATAAAGAAGTCAAATCATTGAAATATTAAATTCATGATAATTTTCATTAGGCATTTAAATCTATGCAGTATTTATTTACTCTACGATATGGGTTTCCCAAACTCTTGTGCCGTGGATGTTTTTTGCTTCGTGATGGACCTCCCTATTTACTATTGATGTGGATATTATTTTTTTCATCAGTTTGAAATTAAAACCGGAAGAAAATTTACTCATACAAATACTCCATTTAACTTTAAAAGGAAATTAATTTTAAATGAGTTTTTGAAGTCAACGGGAAAGGCCATTGATTAAAGAAAATAGATTTTTTTCTATTCTCTATTTTATTTACAACTGTCCAAGTTAAGGACATTTAGTAAATTTGGGGAATTTACAATTGTCAGTCGTAAAGGGATATTGTATACTATATTGATATGTTTTAGTATTAACAATATTTTAATGATAATGATATGATGATAACTATTCACTTATAAATATATTTATAAATATATTTATAAATAATATATTTCATAAATTTTATAAATATATTTATAAATAATATATTTCATAATTTTTTCTGATAAAGATTGAATTAACTTAGTTATTATTTAGAAGAATACTTCTAAATAATAACTAAGTTAATTCAATCTATCAGAAAAATTTATGACTTAGATCAAGTGGCGCTTTTTTCTAATCTACGTCGATAGTTCTCTGTTAATTAAGGAGTTGACTGGGTGACTGATGAGCTTGTTCCTATATTTGTGTGTTGTTTTTGTTATTACAACTTTTATGGTAGGTGTGTTTGTGTCAAGATGAATCAGCCAGTTCGAGATATAAAACAAACATTCGTTCTGAAATTTCTGTATAATTTCTATATTAGTCTTATGAGCACCTACGTCACAATAGTATTTCATAGCACCAAATTGGTTTGAATAAAGTTTTATACAAAAGCAGCTTATTGTACGAGCTTAATCTGGATTTGGTTATAAAGCTTTTTGGTTTTTATCTCAAGCTGTTGCCTCTTTTTTATGTAGATTCGACAATTAAGTTTTCTATCGAGGTATATGTCGAGATATTTCATGGTCTTCTTGAGGTACTTTAGTGTTTCTTATTAACTTGATGTGTTGTGATCCAGTACCGTGGACCCCCAAATTTATTTTTCGATGCAATGAATGGCTTGAAGTTTGTCATGGACCCCTTGCGGTTCATGTGGACCACTTTGAAAATCTCTGCTCTAGGCCAACATTGCACTATAGGAAAAGTGAATTCATAAGCAAAGTGCGAATAAAATTCGTCCAATGTAGATTCCGCAATACGGCGCAGTCAATTCCGCAAATATTTGTTAACCTTTTATGATATATTTCGCAATTATAATAAGCATATACAAACACTCACAGATGATGTGTTTATATTATTATGTGGGTTGGGTAACTCCGAAGTTAATTATATCCCATGATATGATTGATTCCATTTTAGAAATTATATTCGAGCGGAAATAACTTCGACAATAAGTCAAAAGTGTTCTTAACTAAATCCTGAATTTTAGAATGTATTTAGAGAAGCCATATAAGACTTATTCTCAGAGTTATATCAGCTCAAATATAACTTAATTCAGAACCTGAATTTGTACAAGTATAATATTATTTTTATATTTATACAAATACATGCTTAACTGTGTCGTTTCAACTATACATTCAATTTTAGAGCCATCATAATTTACAAAAGCTTTTTGCTTTTTGCTTTTTTTAGCTTTTCAATTTACAGAACACCATTTGCATCTGATCGTTATAAATAAATGAAATTACAAAAATGTATTATTAAACATATTATTGAGTAATATGTTTTCTATTGACCTTAGTTTAATTTTGATTACCATTTTGGTAATCATGAATTTTGGCATACCATTTGTGATTTGCATAAAATAATAATTTTCCTAATAATATCTATAAAATACTCGAATACGAATTTCAAATAATGTGATTTGACAAATCCTAATTTAATAATAACAATTACTATTTTGTTAATTAACTATTATCACTATATACAATATTACTATAATCACAACAATATGAGAAATGTAAGTTTACAGCAGCATGGCAATTGGCAATAACGAATATCAGATTTAATTTTACAAAATTTCATTCTCGCTTATTGTTAAAAAAAAATATCCATGTGATGCTTTGTTCGTTTTCGAAGCTATTTTCGAAAATTCGATAAACTTATAATGAAACAAAATGAGGGGAGAATAGAATGTTCATTTCAAGTAGTTAAAAATCTTGTGTCATCAATGTTAGAAAATAAATACATAATTTATTTATATACATATCATATTAATTAATTCGAAAATTAAGAATCATTCGCACACGTGACATTATATTGATTAATGGAAATTTGTCTATTATTTTAATTATTACTACTACGTTAAGTTATACAAAGGAAACATACTTCCTCTGGTTACATTCATCATCGTATAATGACGCTAACTACTTTCTATGTACATTAAATTCAAAAGCAGATTTCGATCTAATTTAAATGAGAATGATGCCAGCCAAAATTATATATAGAGAAAGTCAAAATATAATTAATGATAAATGATTATGTAATATCAGTAATATTTCTACGATTTATTGCTTTAAGCGCCAGATGTGGTCCACCTGCAGCACCATCAGGTTATGGACAAGAACTTCAATGTTAATTCATGGTAAAAGTTTAAAAATCTTTAAAGTATGAATAATAATGATAATGATTTCTACACTTCCTGTAAAAAATAAATAATAAATAGCTCTGTATTATTTTGAATATTTTAACGTGATTGCTTGTTTGGCATGGCGAAATTTATATCCCTCTCGGGAGACTTTAGAAAGTAGTGATACATGTAATAGTTGGGATATAAAACACCACGATTAATTAAATTCAGAAAATAATGATCGAACATATTAACTAAATTAATTTTAAATTTGCCCTAATTGGTCAAAATCTTGACCTCTATTGATTAACATATGCCTGAGTATCTTTGGATATAGTAGTTTATGTTCACATTATAATTCGAAATAAATGAAAAAAAAAACGTTTAATTTTAATCAGATAATTATTAAAAGATTTATTGACATTGAGAAAAAGCATATTTAGTTAAACGTTAATAAAGACAAATATTGCATTCTTTCTGTGAATACTCACTTTGTCAATTCTAATCTTTTGTTTGTGGCAAAACCGGACTGTCTAAATTAATGTAATTTTAAATTTATTAAAAATATCAATGTAAAAACAAAAACGTATGCAAATATACTTTGATATGCTATAAATTTATAAGTTTAACTATATATTTTTGAGTTTAAAACCATGTCGCTCATGTCAGACTGTCTTAGTGAGTTATTGGTATGACCCAAGAATAAGTAAGTCCATTCACGTGCTTTTATTGAATACGTGTTGATGAATTTCATTTTCTGAAGAGAGATTTCACATTATTCAGATGTCGCAAAAATCAAAACTTTCACCATGTATGTATATACAGTATTCTTTGCAGTTGATCAGCAGCAATTCAATTACAAAGCATATAATAAGCGTTGGTGACTCGATCAATAATCATTTTTATATCTTGTACTGAAAATACGATAATTATTTCCTGCACGACATCAAACAAGGTTCTTGGCTTACTTGCGGTTAATTATAATAGCTTATGTATCAATAGATACTGCTCTATTATTGGAATTTCGATTCAAATATTTATTGTTGGCATTAGCATATTTGTTACACAGATATTTTATGGTTCAATTTATTGCTATAAATTTTATTGCAAATATAATAAAATATTTGTATTATATACACAGATATATATATATATATATATATATATATATGTTTGTAAATACATACACATATGTGTATAAAAGCAGTTTTAAATGAATACTCAAAATATGCAAGATCAGTTCACAGATAAGTTTCGTTTTCACGTTATTGGTAATCGATTTGAATAAATTTAAATGCTGTTAATACAGTAAGTAAAATTGAATTTAATTATCGATTAAATAAAACCTACATAATTAAATTAAAATTTCGCTAAGCTTTTCGCTTATATTTTTTGTTTGATGGCCATATCTCTAACCATATAAAGAATCTTAAGAGCGCATTGTCATGCAACTGGCTTATATTCAATAAAATTTCTCACTTTTTACTTTCTGTTTCCGCATCAAAAACATATATGTATGTATATACATAACTATCAACAATACTCGTAAACGATAATGTATTTTTTGTTACGATAGAACTGTTATTAATTATTATAAATTAATTGAATAATCGACCTCTAGTTATGTGTATCTATTTAATGTTTATGGCATCATATGCTTAAAATAATATTTTTGATATCATTAGCCACAATTAATGAAGAATAAAAATATATAGCATGCATATAATCTTTAGTTGAATATTTTCGAAATTTTATTTTAACCGAAAAAACTAATTTATATAAGTGCCATGAAAGTATCAATTTATATATTTTTAACGAATGTTAATGAATAAATTTATAATGACTATAATGTGTCCTAATATACCATTACTTTATCCTTTATGTTTACAAAAATTTAATGCAATTTCAATTTATATGCAAATTTAAATCGACTTATCGATCGTGCAAATTTATAAATTAAACAAGAAATAGAGAAAAATTCAGCAGTTGATGTAGACTTAATTCTATTTAAACGATACATAAAAAATTCCAAAATAAAATAAACTAGTGGGTGTATGGTATCGTGCCTCAAGGAAAATTGCTGGAACTTCCCGTACCGTAACGAAATGTTCGAGAAATAATAAATGTTTTCAAATATATTATTATAAATAATACTGTAACATTGTCTAATATTTATAAGAATTATATAAACTGAAATGCATAGTTAAAAATATTTGATTAAAGTATATTAGAACTTAAGTCAGAATTACAATTAAAATTTGAATTATTTTCGATATATAAAAAAAAAGTTTTTAAAAAAAATT